GAGCCAAACCAGTGAGGGCTAAAAGTCCTTTTTAATTAAAAGAAATGTATGATCTGCCCAGCTGGTGTGGCTCAGTGGTTGAGCATTGACCCATGAACCAGGAGATCCCTGGTTCAATTCCTGGTCAGGGCACATGCCTGGGTTGTGGGCTTGATCCCCAGTGCAAGGCATGCAGGAGGCAGCAAATTGATGTGTCTTTCTCATATGAATGTTTCTCTCTCTGTGTCCCTTCCCCTCCCTTCCACTCTCACTAAGAATCAATGGAAAAATATCTTCAAGTGAGGATTAACAATAACAACAACAACAAAAACCAAACCACACACACACACACACACACACACACACACACACACACACCCAAGACCAGACATAACAATAGTCACGTGAAATAATGTTCATTTACCTCACTCATGCGGAAGTCTTTATTTTCTCTCTCATCAATGTTTCTAACTCTCTATCCCTCTCCCTTCTTCTCTGTAAAAAATCAATAAAATATATTTAAAAAAAAAAAAAAAAGCAACACTGATAACAATGAACATTAACATAGCAAGGGAAGACTAAGAAAACAAGGCAGACAATTGAAAATTGTAGCATTTGGGCCATGTGGAGGAGGAGCAAACAGTATTAAGTACATTAAGAAGCCTCTTAGAATTTACTCCAGCCCTAGTGGGTTTGGCTCAGTGGATAGAGTGTCGGCCTGCAGACAGAAGGATCCCAGGTTCGATTCCAGTCAAGGGCAGATGCCCGGGTTGTGGGCTCCATCCCCAGTGAGGGGTGTGCAGGAAGCAGCTGATGAATGATTCTTTCATCATTGATGTTTCTATCTCTCGCTCCCTCTCCCTTCCTCTCTGAAATCAATAAGAATATATGTTTTTTAAAAAGGCAGTTGTTTGAAATAACTAGTTGTGGGGCCTGGGAGGCAGTGATTTTCCAAGCTTGGAGAGTCTGAATTGCTTAAAGGTGTCAATCTGTGGGACTGTGTGATTTTCTCCAGAAGTTCCAGGGTGCTGGGACAGCGTCATTTGGACTTTGAAATACTAGTAACTCTCCTTTGAAATAACTCTCAGATTCATCCATTTCATCCCAATGGCAACATCTTTGTCTGACCGTCTCTCTCCCCTCATCCTTGAACTTTCCTATCTTCTTGCTAGAAGGTCTCCTTGTCTTCTTGCTACAATAAAGCATTTTGACAAGTAACAAACACCCTTATTCAAGAACTTAAAATGACATCTTGTTCCTATCAAATTATTTTAACCTACTCACCTCGGCATACCAAGCCTTCCATAATTTGTCTCTCTCTTCCCTTTTCCTCTACTTCTAAGTAGTATCTTACATATCGGTCAGACAGGCCTTTTTGCTACCCATGCTTCAGGCTCCATGCTCACCAAATAAAAGCTTTTGCTTAAGTTATGTTCCTCTTTGGGACATTTTTTATTTTCTTTCGCACTAAGCCAACTCCCACCAAGGTTTTCCCAAGATGTATCCACCATCTTTCTCTATAGTCATCACACACAAAAATTTATTATCTTTTTTTTTTAAATAATATTTTATTGATTTTTCACAGAGAGGAAGGGAGAGGGATAGAGAGTTAGAAACATCGATGAGAGAGAAACATCGATTGGCTGCCTCCTGCACACCCCTCACTGGGGATGTGCCTGCAACCAAGGTACATGCCCTTGACCGGAATCGAACCTGGGACCCTTCAGTCCACAGGCCAACGCTCTATCCACTGAGCCAAACTGGTCAGGGATTATCTTTTCTTTCATTTAGGAATTATGTTCAGTCTAACTTTTGGTGTTTTTTTAAGACTTGGTATTGCTTTTTAATCATTTAGTACATGTAAGTCTTTTTAAAAAATATATTGTTATTGATTTCAGAGAGGAAAGAAGAGGGAGAGAGAGTTAGAAATATCAGTAATGAGAGAGAATCATTGATTGGCTCCCTCCTGCTCACCCCACACCAGGGATTGAGCCCATAACCCGTAACCCGGGGTGCCCTGACTGGGAATCAAACCGTGACTTTCTGGTTCATAGGTTGACGCTCAACCACTGAGCCATGCCAGCCGGGCTAACTGTAAGTTTTGTTTGTGTTGTTTGTTGTTTGTTTGTTTGTTTGTTTTTTGTTAATCCTCACTGGAGGATATTTTTTTCCCATCCCTTTTTGGAGAGAGAATGGAAGGGAGAAAGGGGGAGAGAGAGAGAGAAAAGAGAGGAACATCCATGTGAGAGAGAGACATTGATTGGTTGCCTGCTGCACATGCCCTGACCAGGGCTGGGGATCGAACCTGAAACCCAGGTACATCCCCTTGACCTGGAATCAAACCTGAGAATGACACTTTAACCACTGAGCACCACTGACCAGGGTGGTAAGTCTTGTTTTAATACAAATAGATCAGCGGTTCTCAACCTGTGGGTCGCGACCTCTTTGGTGGTCGAACGACCCTTTCACGGGGGTCGCCTAAGACCATCCTGCATATCAGATATTTACATTACGATTCATAACAGTAGCAACATTACAGTTATGAAGTAGCAACGAAAATAATTTTATGGTTGGGTCACAACATGAGGAACTATATTTAAAGGGCCAGAAGGTTGAGAACCACTGAAATAGATGGTCATTTTCTTAAAGACCAGGACCACATCCCAAGATGAATTGTACCTGAAATAAGTACTTCATACGTATTGGATTGAATTGAAATTTTAGTTGGGCTGTAAAACTTTAAATGAGTTACACCTTGATCCCCATTCATTAATCTATTCAATGAGCACATATTTGAGTACTTAAGCCCTGTGTTGGGATCTGGGGAGATTTCAACCTCTATATTTTTTTTCCCAAAAATATATTTTATTGATTTTTTACAGAGAAGAAGGGAGACGAATAGGATAGAGAGTTAGAAACATCGATCAGCTGCCTCCTGCACACCCCCCCCACTGGGGATGTGCCCACAACCAAGGTACATGCCCTTGACCGGAATCAAACCTGGGACCCTTCAGTCCACAGGCCGATGCTCTATCCACTGAGCCAAACCGGTTAGGGATCAACCTCTATATTTTGAGGTGTCTTTCTCCAAAAACCTCTTTCCAGGCTTTAAAACAGCCCCCCGGGCCACTGAATTGCCTTAGACCCAAGACCCTTAGCAGTTAACCTTGTATATGTATTGTTCCATTATTTCTGATTCTGTTTATCTCACTGGTTTACCTGGCCTTCCATCTGTGTCTCTGTTTCTGTGTTGTGTGTATGTATGTGTGTGAGTGTATGTATGTTTATATCTCTTCCTTCTTTGTGGTGGGGTTCAGCCCAGTTAGTGATGCTTTGCATCCTGATCTTAGTCCAGTAAAGACTGGCTAGATGTAGCAAACTCGTCTCTCCTTCCCTTCAGTCCAGGGAAGAGGATGTGGGGGCATGGAGGAAAGAGGTGCTCATTCAGATAAAACTACCCAAGAATGCCAATGTCTCCCAGGCCACCCACTGTCCTGGGAATTTTGAGAACGTTTGTCTTGTGTCCCAGCCCCCACGCAGGGGAGAATCTTAGTAGGCAATACCAAGGTGGGAGCCAATCAGTGCTGTCTGAAGTAGCCTATTCTTCCTTCCCACTGACAGTCCCAGAATCAAAGGGTCATTTGTTTGTTTATTTACTTATTTAATTTTAAACAGAGAGAGAGAGAAACATCAATTTGTTGCTCCACTTATTTATGCATTCATTGGTTGATTCTTTTTTTAATAATATTTTTAAATTGATTTCAATGAGGAAGGGGGAGAGAGAGAGAAAGAGAGAGAGAGGGAGAGAGAGAGATTGAGAGAGAAACATCAATGATGAGAGAGAATCATGGATCAGCTGCCTCCTGCACACCCCCTACTGGGGAGGAGGGGATTGAGCCCGAAACCAGGTCATGTGCTCTTGGCCTGAACCTAGGACCCTTGAGTCCCTTTAGTCCACAGGCCGCCGCTCTATCCACAGAGCCAAACTGGCTAGGGCCGTTGGTTGATTCTTGTATGTGTCCCGACGGGAAATCAAACCCACAGCCTTGGCATACCAGAAGGATGCTCTGGTTAGAGCATCCCAGCCAGGGCCAGAATCAAAGGATCTTTATGGAAGGTGGGGATGGGGAAGGAGAAGTTTTCAGTTTTGCTGTTTGGAGGGATGTCCAGGGTTCTCTGAGGAAAGATGGGACATAACTAACCCTGTATTTGGGGACAGTAAGGCTATGTGGAATTGGGACAGCTGGTCACTTTTCCTCTGATTCTCTGACTCGATTTGTCTTGATCTCCACATCTCTCTTTTGGCTTTAGCCTGACTCACCTGTGTTCTTCCATCAACTAGTAGCCTGACTACCAGCCACTCTGGCATCCTGGCTCCTTAGGTCCTGGCTTAGTTGCCCAAGCTAGTCCTGCTGTGGCAGTAGAGTTGGGAGGGGAGGAGATGATGGGGACTAGGAAGACCTCCTTCCTGTCTCAGGCCTCAAGCCCTTGAGTGCATGCAGGCCTCCCTTATTGGGGTCAGGAGGAACCAGAGGAGGCACATGGGGAAAAATAAGAGGGTTGAGGTAAAAACAAAACAAAATAAAACAAAAAACTAGAGAAGACGAACAGAAAGTTGGCGGCGGGAGACTCCCCAGGGAGCAGGGTAGCCAAAGCCATTGTAGAGGAAAGGAGGGGAGGGAGGGTCCCGCCGGCTCTGACAGCCCAGCCCAGCTGCGGTCCCTGGGTTTCTTGTCTCCTCCCAGCGGCTCTTTCTTTCCAGGGCCTCTCCGCGTTAAGACGTGTGACCCCCTCCTCCGTCTGGCTCTCAGCAGTAGCCCGGGGTCTCTTCAGCTCCAGCTTGGCTTTGGTCTCCAGCTCAGCTCCGGGCCTGGCCTCTCACTGGGCGGTGCTCCAGGCGCCCCGCCCCCGAGGAGGACTATTGGTGGAAATGTGTCGAGGAGGCGGGGTCTAGCCAGCCTGCGAGAGCCCGATTAGTTGCGGCGAACTCGAGGCGGACCGGAGGCGGGTCCGACCGGGAGGCGGGAGGGGCTGCTGGGGCCCGGCCCAGACCTCCCGGCGGTCGCATTGTTTTCCTCCGCGGACCCGCGGCGGGATTGGGGGCTGCGACTGGGCTTGCGGGACTGGACAGCGCCCGGGAATCCAGATCTAAGCTCCGTCCAACTCGTACGCTCATCACACCTCGCCAGAGCCCCAACCACGGATCGCGAAGTCGGCGCGGTGCGGGGCCGCTGCCCGCCCGCTGCCCTCTCGACCCCGCTAGCTCGGATCTCGGAGCAAGTACCCCGGAGCTGGGACAGGGCTGCAGGGAGGCAGGGAGGACGCGGCTGGCTGGAGGCAAGATTCCTAAGTGCGCGAGGAACACGGGAGATGCCAGTGCGCGGGGTGCCTGGCTGGCGGAGAGGGTCGGTGGAGTTGGGGTGCGCGGAGGGGGCTGTAGAGCGCGTCACTGTACGGTAGGCGCAGGGTCTGGCGCCTCTGCCGACCGAGTCTTGTCTCCTGAATTGGGGAGCGCGAAGATGGATGATTTGAGGCGCGCACTGTGCGGAGGGTGGAAAACCTGGTCCTTGCCTCCCCATCAGAGAAACTAAGGCTCCGTGACCCGCGTACAACCAGATCCTCTTGATGCCCCTGCGAGGATGGGAAGGGGGGACGCGTCGTTTCGGACTTGGTGTCACGGCTGCACCTCTGTCCTTGGGCTTGCACCCCCCAAGGGGTTGGCTCCGGCACAGTGTCGGGGAATGGGGTCCTCCAGAAACATCAGTCCCAGAGCCATCTCCTTCCCGCACCCCACTCTGTCCGGGGCTTTGTTAGACCCAGGTCTCCCGAGGAGGAGAGACGAGCTGGCGGCTGCCTCCGAGCCTGCCGACCCGGGTCGGCGCTGGCCCGGACCCGCCCTCGTCGGTTCCCAGCCTCTGACCCTGTTTCCCTGGCCTCGGAGACCCGCCTCGGCTCCCCCACCCCCGCTTCCATCCTTGCTTGGTCTGCGCTTGCAGGCCCCTCCAGCCCCTCCTCCCGCTAACGTGGCTCTGGGACCCGGTCCCGGCCCAGACTCTGCTACCCGCCCCTCTCGGAGCCTCGGATCCAGTGAGGGGGAGACACGTCGAGCCCCTGGCCCCGGGCCCACCGATGCGAGGCGATGGACACCTGGGTTATCCTCGTTGGGGGCTGGGCGGGAGGGAGGGTAGGTGTGAGCTGGGGGCTGAGAGCTGAGGGTGGGGAAATGTCTTGGAGGTGCGAACGCGTCTGTTCCGCGAGGCTCCTCGGCGCGCCCCCCGCTCCCTCAGAGGAAGGTGGACTGGGGCGGGCGGCCAGCCGGAGGGCTTCCTGCTATTGTCCCCAGCCCGGTCTCCCCTTCTCCATCTCGGCCCCAGCCCCCGCTAGACTCTGGCTTTGACCTCGGCCACTCCCCAGAGGTGGCTTCGGGGCCAGGAGAGGAGAGAAAGGCTGTTTCCTCTTTCCAGCAAGGGAAGAGGAGGGGGAGAAAGGACGGCCAGGCCTCCCCCATTTGCCTCAGATGGGGGTATGGAGCAGCTGGGATTGGTCCCAGCAGGATAAGCCTGTCCCCAGGCTGCTCAGATGCTGCTCCCCCAAAACAGCCAAGGAAAGCCCTCTTAAAGCTATATCATAGTTAAGTCTAGGGGCCCATGCAAAGGCCAACCAAGTGTTTTTAGAGGCTGGACCGAGGTGGGGGGTGGGGTGGAAGGAGATTGGGTGAGAGGGAGGCATGGCCTGCTCGCTCAGGAAGAAGGAAGGGGATGGGGATGCCTGATATCAACATTTTGCCTAGAAATGAAGAGCATGTAAATGAGATGCAAATTAGCCTCTATTGTCCCCAGCTAGGGCGCTTTTGCTAAGAAGGCTGCTGGATTCTGAGGGTTTTAGCGTGGGAGTGGTCATCGTGCCCCACAAACTCTCCCAGTTACCTCTTTCCCAAGACTGGTCCTGCAGTTTCAGCAGTTTCCGACTAGGAGCCAGCCCCAGCCCCTGCCCTCACATCTCTGGGCATGAAGCTGCCAGCACCTTCGTAACCAAGCTCAATGTCAACACACACACACACACACACACACACACACACACACCCCAGCATCTCTATCCTAGTCTCACTAGACTTCTGAATATTCACATTTACTTTCAAGGGATGTGGTAAGGAGGTGTAGTAACACAGTCTCTTCCCTCCTCTGTCCCTCCTTCCATCAGGTCAAAGGTCTTCTATCCTCAAACCCCAACAGCAGTCATCACCCAGGTAAGGAAAGGTGATGAGGCTGGGGGATGGAAGCTAGCATGGCCTGGGAGCAGGCAGAGGGTCTGGATGTTCTCCCCACTTGCCACAGATCAAAGTTGTTTCCTGGGTGAAGATACTTGTTGCCCAGGGCAACTTGGGGCGGGGGCAGGAGGGTAAGGATAGGAGACAATCCGTGTCCCTCCCTACCTCTTCCCCTGGGAGTCCCAGCATCCAGAAACATGGTGGAAGTGTGGGGGAGGGAGGCTTGGCTTTTTAGCGCCAGAGGGTCGTTAGCTAGCTGACTGCTCTGCCTCTGGGGAGGGGGGTCATCTAGGTGTTACTACCCCTTCCCCTCCTCTAGCTCTCCTGAGACCCCATCTGACGTCAATCTCCCCATCAGTGACGCTGGAGTGGGGGTGGGTACACTTGGGTCCTGGCTCCAAGGGTGGAATTGTTGAGGAGATGGAATGGCCTGGGCCTGGAAGCTCAGGGGGCATGGCAGGATGGGCAACTAAAGACGTAAAAGGTAGCTGTCTGTTCACAAAAAGAAAGGATTCTCACCCTTTCTGACCTGATTTCTGGAACCTGCTCAGACCCTTACTTCAATTTCAGGGGAAGGCAGGGAGTTGGTGTACACCTCCCACTGTGGGTCAGAGAGGGGAGGCTGATGGGTGGGAAGGGAGGTTGTCTCACCATCCCTCCCACCCTGCCCTTCTTTTCCTGGACTATGATTGCCTGCCTGTCATTGAATAATTTATATTTCCATTTCGAGGTAGCCCGAAGGGGGAAGGAAGAGAAAGAGGGACATGTGCAGCCATTTCTCCTCACCAGTGTAGCCCCTTCTATCCCTGGCTCCTCACAGGGGGTGTGTCTGCACTTCCCCCTCCCCCCATTAAGTAGAAGCACTGGTTCTTGGGAGCCGGGGAGGGAGCAGGGGGATAGAGAGGCTGGGAAGGGGCACAGTGGTCGGGCAGACAGCTGCAGCCAGAGCTAAATTTAGCCTCTGATCTGGCTTTGATGCAGATTCATTTTTGGCTAAGACAGCAGCAACTCCCCTCACTCCCCCCCCCCCCCCAGCTTCTCCCTAGCAATGGGGAGGGCCCCTGAAACATGAGTTTAGACCGGGACAATGACCCTTAGGCTGCCTTCCCCAACTGTGCTCTTCCTCAGCCCTAAAGAGGACAGTGGCTATCTCACAGCTGCCTCTGCCCGGGCTCAGTGCCTGTGGTGCTTCCAGGGTGCCCTGGGGGTCTGAAATGTAGGGGGAGTCAGACATGGTGCCCTCTTCCTCCTCCCAGTGCCAAGGAGTCACTATTTATAATTTTAAGGCTTTAGTGTCTAATTATAGCTGGGAAGGGGTTAGCAAGAGGGGGGCCAGGAGGTGTCATCTACTGAATGTCCCAGGCCCAGTCTGGAGTGAGGATAGGCTGAGTGAGAAGGCTGGGAGGGGAGCGGGGTGTCCTGTCCTCACCTGGGGTCATGCAGGCAGGCCTCGCACCAGCCAGCCTGGGCCAGTTGGAGAGGGTAGGGCCTTGAGTGACAGTGACAGTTGGTTGGACGAAGGCAGTGCCAGAGAGAGGGTTCTTTCCCCCATTCCCTGGGGTCTTCTGGGGATAGACCAGGGGGAGGAGCCTGCCTGCTTCCAGGGTGGAGAGAATTGGGCCCCGCCCCCACTGTTCTCTGTGTCCTCTTTCAGGGCCAGCATATGGGTGAGGGGGCACCCCCTGGGGCCTGAGCTGCCCCGCACAGGATGCCCCGTGCCCCCTACTTCATGCCCTTGCTGCTCCTGCTGCTGCTGCTCTCACTTCCCCACACCCAGGCCACCTTTCCCCGGGACCCCCTCCCTCTGCTGATCTCTGACCTGCAAGGTGAGTGCCCAGTACCACACTCTTGGGGTGTGAGCTTAGAAATTAGACACTGAGGCCCGGCCGGCATAGCTCAGTGGTTGAGTGTTGACCTGTGAACCTGGAGATCACGATTTGATTCCCATTCAAGCCGTATGCCCGGGTTGCAGACTAGATCCCCAGTGTGGGGCGTGCAGAAGGCAGCCGATCAATGATTCTCTCTCATCATTGATGTTTCTATTTCTCTCTCCCTTCCTCTCTGAACTCAATAAAAAATAAATAAAAAATTAAAAGAAATTAAACACTGAGACCTATGTGTGGGAGGCAAGGTGCAGGAAGGCTCCCAGCCTCAATGAAGCTCAGAGCCTGACCAGCAAAGGGAGCAAACACATAAAGAGAGCTGGCACCTCACTTCAGTCACTTCTCATCCCTGGGCCAACTTTCTTCACTTTGAGGCAGCATCGTATGGTGGTTAAGAACATGGCTCTCAGCCAGGCCAAACCTGAACAGGTGGGAATCCCTGCTAAGTTGCTCACTAGCTATGTGACCTTGCTCTAGTACTTTTTTTAAAAAAAATATATTTTTATTGATATTTTACAGAGAGGAAGGGAGAGGGATAGAGAGTTAGAAACATCGATCAGCTGCCTCCTGCACACTCCCCACTGGGGATGTGCCCGCAACCAAGGTACATGCCCTTGACTGGAATCGAACCTGGGACCCTTGAATCCACAGGCCGACGCTCTATCCACTGAGCCAAACCGGTTAGGGCCTTGCTCTAGTACTTTACCCTTTCTTTGCCTCAGTCTCCTCATCTGCAAGTATTCCACCTCATAGAGTTATTTAGGGATTAAATTAGGTAATGCATGTAAAGTGCAAGGGCTATCTGGCACAAAGTGAATGCTTTCTACATGTTTACCATTATCATTAGCTACAAAAGGCAGGCTTGGGACTAGTTCAGTGGTTCCCAGTACCTTTCACGTCCCTCTCCACCACTTGTACCAATACTATTACTAAGCCCATGTCCTACCGTGAGGGATACCATAAACCCACTTTTTCTGAGAATTTTATCTATTTCAGGTTCCTGTTATATATGTAGGATTTAGAGTAATTTTAAGGATGAAGGAACTGCACTCGGGTTATTGGGAATAACTACTAGGGGATAGATAAGATAGCAACCACTTATCTGTGCCAGACACAGTTCTAAGCACTATGCAAATGTTAAACCATCTACTGCTGAACTCTAGACTCCCTTTGAGTACTGATGACTGTGATTTCCATGATCAGGCCAGATGGGTGCTGCAGTTGGTCAGAGGAGGCAGAAACCTTGGAGTGCTGAGGTGGCCTGTGAGGGGCCTTGAGGGGAGGGTGCAAAGAGAGGTCTGGGAGAAATGGGGTGAGTAAAAGCTCCAGAATGGACAGAGTACATTGTGGACACAAAAGAGAATCACTAGCCCTAAGGCAGCACCAAGAAGGGATTGGGCTCAGCTCTGGAGTCTGACAGCTGAATCCAGGTACCTGTTGCTTCCAAGGTAAATGAGCTATGCAAATTCCATAATGTCTTTAAGCCTCAAGCTACTCATCTGTAAAATGGGACCACCATTAGTACCGACCTCATAGGGTTGTTGTATTGCGACAATGCAGCTAAGATGCTAACACAGAGTTTGGCAGAGGTTAAGTGCTCAGAGTTAGCTGGTATTATTTTTCTTAATAGGTTACTTAATTAATACCTCACAACTCATTTCACATATCCACTGTGTCCGTGGCTGGGTTTCATCTGGTTGGAGAGGGTGTTGAGGGAGTGTGTCGTCTCTTGGCTGGCTCTCAGCACCCACCTCTCTGTGCCTTCCAGGTACTTCCCCATTATCCTGGTTCCGGGGCCTGGAGGATGATGCTGTGGTTGCAGAACTTGGGCTGGACTTCCAGAAATTTCTGACCTTGAACCGGACCTTGCTAGTGGCTGCCCGGTAAACTAGCAGCGGCACAGTTGTGGGGCTGACACACATGCTCCTGGGACATGGACATGCTGGGACCCAGAGCACAAATGCCAAGGCATGGAGGAAGGGGGAGGGTAGAGAGCAGGAGGTTCGCCCTGCTTGTCCCTGAGCAGCTGAACGTGGACAAGGGTAGGACTAAGGAGCTCAGGTGGGTGCCTTGGCTTGTCTCTGATCCTCTTTACCTGTCTCCTCAGGGATCATGTTTTCTCCTTCGATCTACAAGCTCAAGAAGAAGGGGAGGGACTGGTGCCCAACAAGGTGAGGGGCTGGTTGGGAGGAGGTGCCCACAGAGATGAGGCTGGGGAGGGTCTAAGGGGAGGCAAGGGGGTGGGAAAAAGAATCCAAAAGAAGCACTATGTAGGCGGGGTCCAGGCTGCCCCACGATTTTCCCTCTCCCACTTCTCCCTTCAGTATCTCACATGGAGGAGCCAGGACATGGAGAACTGCGCGGTGCGGGGGAAGCTGACGGTGAGGAGGGGAAGGAGAATCTGAGGGGAGGAGATCACCCTGCCTCCAGGCTCTGCCCTCGCAGTCTCGTACTGTGCCCAATTTCCTACCCACTCCCTCATCTCAGGACCCAGAGGAAAAGGTGCAGGAAAGAGAATGAATGGTTTTTAGCTTCTTTCACTGCTTCACAAAAAAGAAAAGTGAGGCTCCAATGAAGGACTTGCCCAGGCCAAGGGCTAGTGAATAGCTTAGTTGGAACGTTACCCCACGTTGGTCTGACTGTTCAAGGGGAGTGGACTTACTTCCTGTGACCCCCCGTCCCAGTCCCAGGGACCCTGTCACTGACATAGAGGTTTGTGTTCCCTAGGACGAGTGCTACAACTACATCCGTGTTCTCGTTCCCTCGGACTCGCAGACACTCCTTGCTTGTGGAACGAACTCATTCAGCCCCGTGTGCCGCAGTTATGGGGTACAAAGGCGAGAGTGCGGGGGTCAGGGTGGGTCTGGGAGGAAAACTCAAGTGGACAGTTTGTTGCGGACAGACCAGTGGAGGAATGGGAGTGCCCAGGGTTCAGGGGTCCAGTCCAGAAGGGGTGGGGGAAGGAAGCAAGGGGACATGAGGAAGTAGGCGATGGAGCCTGACTCTAAGACCCCAAGGGTTCCAAGAACCTGTTCCCTCTGTTTCCAGATAACTTCGCTGCAGCAGGAGGGTGAAGAACTGAGTGGGCAGGCTCGATGCCCCTTTGATGCCACCCAGTCCAACGTAGCTGTCTTTGCAGGTGAGCACCTGGGCATGTGAGAAGCAGGCATGTGGCTGGAGGGAGCTCCCACCTTAGCCCCTTTCCCAATTTGGTCTTCCCCCCATGCTCCTGAATGGAGGGCTGGGGTAGAGGCCAGAGTCAGACTGAGGTAGGGGTGTGGGAGGCCCAAGAAGAGCCAGAATGCAGATCCCCTGACTCCACCCTACCCCTCCCTCCAGAGGGCAGCCTGTATTCAGCCACAGCTGCAGATTTCCAGGCCAGTGACGCTGTAGTTTACAGAAGCCTTGGCCCTCAGCCCCCACTCCGCTCAGCCAAGTACGACTCCAAGTGGCTCCGAGGTCAGGGCGGGCCTGGGGGAAGGAGGCTGCTCTTGGGGAGGAGGTGCATGGGGCGGACTGGCAGGGAGCAGGCAGTGTCCGTGTGTGCAGAGGGGAGAGGCTGCAGGGGGCCAGGAGTTTCTGAGCAGGTACTGACACTCTTCCCGACCCTTTCCTGTCACTCCCCCTCAGAGCCACACTTTGTCCATGCCTTGGAGCATGGAGACCACGTCTACTTCTTCTTCCGAGAGGTCTCCGTGGAGGACACCCGGCTGGGGAGGGTAAGGAGGTGGTGGGCACCTGGGGTGGGTAGCTGAGGGTTCTGCTGGATCCTGTGAAGGCAGAGTCAGGGGACAGCTCCTGAGCCCGATCTCCACAATGCAATCCCCTAGACTCTGGGCCCCCAAGTGGAGCAACCCTAGCCCTCTGCCCCCATATCCTGCTGTGTCCCTCATCCTTAACCCAGAATGACCTCGTGCAGCATACCCTTCCTTGCTCCATCCCTAACATGTGTGTCCTGGTGCTCTAACTCACTGCATTCCTCTCATCTCCCTGGCCCTGAGGTTGTCTCTCACTGTTCTCCCCTTGTCCCCGACTTCTCCACTTCAGGTACAGTTCTCCCGTGTGGCCCGTGTGTGTAAGCGTGACATGGGCGGCTCACCTCGGGCCTTGGACCGTCATTGGACATCCTTCCTGAAGCTTCGGCTCAACTGCTCTGTCCCTGGGGATGCTGCCTTCTATTTTGACGTCTTACAGGCCTTGACTGGGCCTGTGAACTTGTATGGCCGCCCTGCTCTCTTTGGGGTCTTCAGCACCCAGACCAATAGGTTGGTGTTAGACTAACCAATGTGGCCCAGTCTGTCCCCTGCCCCACTAGCATCCAAGCTCCTCTTTCAAAGTTTACTGATGGCGTCAGTGAGGGACGTTCCATTCAAAGCCAGTTGCTGTTTTGCCCATCCTTTTTCTCCTAGCATGGCATCCAGGGCACCCCACCCTCTCAGGCTCTGCCCCCTAATATGGTGCATGAAGGGAGGAGCTGTGCTGTCTCTTCTAACACCTAGCCCGCATCCTTTTCTGGCTTCCTCAGCATCCCTGGCTCTGCAGTCTGTGCCTTCTACCTGGATGATATTGAACGTGGGTTTGAGGGCAAATTCAAGGAGCAGAGGAGTTCGGATGGGGCCTGGACTCCTGTGTCTGAGGACAGGGTCCCCTCCCCCAGGTACCCAGGATGGGGGTGGGTTTTGTGGGTCAGAATCAAGCAGTGTCTGCTCTCAAAATGGGGTGGTAAGGAAAGGGAAAGGTGTCCAGTGCCTGGGGAGGAGGCTGTGGTGTGTTGGCAGTGGGACTGGCAAGCTGCAACTGGGAAGGGAAGCGGTAGTGTGTGTGTGTGGAGGGGAAGCAAGGGCTACCCGTCATGTTTAGGAGCAGTGTGTGTGGGCAGCACAGAGCCTACGTCCCAGCTCCCTGCCCTAAGGCTGCCCCTTCCCATGTGCCCACCAGGCCAGGATCCTGTGCAGGAGTGGGTGTAGCTGCCTTATTCCCCTCTTCTCGAGATCTCCCTGATGATGTCCTGACTTTCATCAAGGCTCACCCACTGCTGGACCCCACTGTGCCACCTGCCACCCACCAGCCTCTCCTTACCCTCACCAGCAGGTATGGGGCTAAAAAACACTGACCACTACCCTCCCATCTCAGCCACTCCCCTTCTCTGACCCCACAAGGTAAATCACAGTGGCGGGAGGAAGTGCCCATGAAAGTGGAAGGGAAGGGAAACCCCGGGTTGGGGAAGGACCCAGGAGTGGGTACCAGGACACATGGGCTGTCCTTGGAGCACCAAGCTTCCACTTTCGGGTTGCCCTGACCTAAGGCTTATTTCTCCAGGGCCCTACTGACCCAGGTAGCTGTGGATGGCACAGCTGGTCCCTATCGTAACACCACAGTCCTGTTCCTTGGCTCCAATGATGGAACAGTGCTGAAGGTGCTGCCCCCAGGGGGACAATCTGGAGGACGGGAGCCCATCCTGTTGGAAGAGATCAATGCCTACAGCCCCTCCCGGTGAGGACATGAGGGCTTTGTCTGGCGGGCGGCCTGCCGAACAGGAATGGGATGTGAGATGGTAGATGGGGATGTGGGAATGGGGTGGGAGCTCCAGCACTGGCTTCTACAGGGCAGAAGCTATGGCGTAGAGAGAGGGGCTTGGTGAGAAGTTGGACAGTGCGGTGGGGCAGGGTGGGCACTCAGGGACATCAGCTCCATGAGCCATACTTAGTTGCTTGTGCCTCTCACCACGTTCAGGGAAAAAAGAACCTCACCAGGCCTGCCCCTTCTTTGATTCCTTTTGGCCTCACCCTAGGTGCAGTGGGAAGCGGGCGGCCCAAACAGCACGGCAGGTGATAGGACTGGAGCTGGACACTGAAGGTCACAGGCTCTTTGTGGCTTTTTCTGGCTGCATCATCTACCTCCCTCTCAGCCGGTGTGCCCGGCATGAGCCTGTCGGAGTGAGAGGGCCTGAGTCGGGCCTGCCTGGGTGGGCTCCTGG